TTTGATAACATTTCAAAGCGACTTATCTTTGCAAAATATTATTTCCATAAAAATCAATCACCAAAACCATATCAACATGTTGAAACAGAACTGAAAATAGTGCTTTTGCTAGTCTTGCAATCTACCAACTATCACAAGGCTTTAATCGTATCGATATTTATTTACGTCATAAGAGTATAAATTTATATAGGGTACCGACACAACTTGTGATGTGTATACAGAAATGCAAGGTACTACATCTAATGTATTTTGTCAAAAAAGAGGATTTTGTATTAAATTAAAAGAATATAAGTGACGTATGTTTGAATGTATACAACGGGTTGTTCAAATGCATTTCGATTTTATTAACGCAGATGTATTTCGTATCTGTATCTCCCATTGCTTTTTATATTGAAACACACTTGTTTAATTCTGCATTTAATTATAAATTACCAGCATTGAACAGAGAATGTAACATTTATCGTGTAATATTACACAATAAATATGTAAATTGACTTAATTGATAAACAGAACAATGGATGGATCATTAATACGAATGCGAAATAATTAACATTTACATAAAATAACTAAACACGTAATTAATTATCAAACATATCATAATTCTAACAATTTGTGTGGGGAAAATCGTTAAACAATAACACATTTATCGTTGTTTTACAACAGTGAGATTCAGAAATGATGTCGGTTCATGTAAAACGTGCCAATATCAATATGCAGAACAGTACAAGAAAAAAATATGTTAAGTCAAAGACACATTTTATCAAAAAAGATCCTGTATATAATAGGTATCTAGTGAATGAGGAAAACAAAAGTACAATATAACTATCAGATTATATTTAACTTTTAACAATAATGTTGTACTTTGTGTATAAGTCCTATACAATTTCGTTGTTGTGATATTTGTAAGATGTAGGAATATCTTGAGTATAAAATTATTAGACTTATTTGCCCGTTGTAACTGAAAAACTGTCCACACCTAGAAGACCTACAACAAGTGTTTGCTCTGTAAACTATTGTTATTATATAAGTTACGTTTACTAAATTTTAAAATGAGTCTTGAAATTGTCTCTGAACAACAACTTTGTCCTTGTCACAGAACTCTATGAAATTTATTTAATTTATGTGAGTTTCAGCTAGAAACATTCAAAATCAAAATATAATCTAATTTACTGACTGCTTCTTATTTGATACTTCATATACATGTAAACTTTAATTAATGTAAAAGTGTGATAGCTTAATTACTTTCATCCTGACAGAAATATTGAAATGCAATTTTGCATCAAATATTTGTATTTCTTGGCAATACAGCATTACCGATGAGAGATGAAATACCAGCGCGTTCGCATTTCATTTTTTGTTCAAACAGTCACATTTGTATTCACTGTAGGAACTTATCCCGATTGCCACTTCAAAAATACTTATGTTTTGATATTGTCCATCTGTAAAAATAAAATAGACAATGTTTTCAAATAGTCGTATCTATTTGATTTAGCTTGTAAACAATTTTGTCACGGAAAATTGGGACGGCCCTCATAAGTTATTTTTCAGAATTATTTTGTCCACAGTACTTGACAAGGCGTCGTAATTACGTATACTGATCTTCTGATCTTATTAAGTAAGGAGTACACGCATTTAATAACTACAATAGCTTTACGTATTGAAGGTAGCAGGAAACAGTTCATAAATAGTATAGAACTTATAAAATGTTTGATCTGTTTCAAAACAACACAAAGAATAAGATAACCTGGCCCCGTGTTCACAAAGATTTAAGGATCAGGATCAAGATCAGGATCAAATTTAAAAACTCCAATATTCTTCATTGTTTATCCTCAAAGATTAAGTATCTTATATTAATTTGATAAAACTAGACTTGCAATAGCAAGTTTATGAAATTTTAGAATAAAGTTATTGTCATTTTTGCAAGATACGGGCATTTTACAGTTGATCCAAATATTGATCCTGATCCTAAAATTGATCCTTATTTTGATCTGAAAATTTTTGTATTTGTTTTGTTTTTTGTTGATTTTATCCCAAAATAGTTTGGTTTCTATGCAAATCAGCAATATTTTACATTTTGAATATATACCATTCAATTCTATGAAAGCATGATTAATTTTAGTAACATAAAACAATGCAAATAAAATCAGGATCACTTGATCCTGATCCTGATCTTTTGTTAGTGAACACGGGGCCTGGTCGATTTGTAAATGAACTTATGCCGTTTTGTCTGAGGAATCACTTTGTTTCCAGATTACTATACTTCACAACAGCAGGTGTGTGGCAGCTGTTTAAAAGTTGCCCCGTACTTCACTTCAGTGTTGTTATATTTTTCTGGTCCTTCGGGATCATTTTTGCCAGCACTATTATATTAAGTGTTGAGAATTGAGTACCTCTCAAGCCGGTACTAGAGGGCGTGAGGGTTGTTATACTCATTCATTATCCTTCATGTACAGACTCAATCAACCCGAGTTGGCAATTTTCATGTAAATTTGTTGCGATTAATGCTTAATCCGAAGGATTACTTTGTTTCCAGATTATTATTGATAGGAGGTGCAATAAGTAATACTTTCGGTATCAGGTTACTAACATTTAATCATTTGTTGGTCAGGTTAAGAAACTACGTCTATTTTTAGTTCATTACAATTGACAATTTTAATATTGTTGAATGAGTCTCAGGTGTATAACTGGGTTTTCTCGTTTAAGGCACATGGCATATCTTTACAATTGCATCATTTAAAGATTTTGAACTCGTAAAAACACTTGAGATTTCTTTTTTCACAGCCTTTTTGTCAAAATTATTGAAACTGTTTAATTTTATTTAAATTTTAAAAACCCATTAAAGCTGCTGCAAAAAATCCCAAGAAACTCATCGCCCCCTAAAAAAAGGGTTTAAATAAAACCAAACCTAAAATCCCCTGTAGTAGTAGCCGCCCAAAAACATTTTTTATATAGTAGGCCAATTAAAGGGGAATGTATCAAATTTCCCGTGGGGAAAATTTTGTAATCGAAATCCTTAGTTTAACTAAATTTTTTTTTTTATGCACGGTTTTAATGCCCAATATCAATTTAAAACTTTTAAAAAATAAATTTTTATGAAAAAAAACTCGGGGCCACTATTCCATTCTGTAACAATTATGTTTGTAACGTTATAACAAATTTATATGCTAATTCCGCTACACCCTTCCCAAACGTTTCGGCCATTTATTTAAAAAACGATTATGAATTTTCAAGTAAATAAATCGGTAGTTGCAAAGATTATCCAACGTACGTCCCTAACGATGAAAAATATTAAAATCAGACGATCAGACCTCGACACGACTTCCTTGTGCCAGTAAGTGTTAACATGCTTATTTAAGTCCCCGTTCCTGACGTCCGATAACCTTGTTGCGAGATAAGTTTAAAATTTTTTATTTTGTATATTTTAACTTTCTTTATAAGTATCACAAAATTAATGTAATAAACACTCAATTTATTTTTATGTCCCTATGTATATATTATTGAACGACAATAATCATTTATAGATTAGTGGTCAAATTGAGTTGCAATGACGACGTCACCATGCAATACTTGATGCAGTGGAAGTGCGTGGACGGGTTTTTCCTTGAAATATCTTACACCAGGAAAAATGGCCTTGATGAACCTTGATGGACGCTAAATATAACATTAATGAAAGTAATAAGGATTTTGTTTGATTGATTCCGTCCATAGACAGTCGTGAAAATTGTATGTCATCAGCAGTACATCCATACAATACAATACTATAAAGCAGAATTAATATATTAAAAATAAGAATGTTGTTTTATTGAAGCAAAACTTTTATTGTAAAATAAAACATTAATACTGTGACATAAAGCTATTTCGCTATGAAAGTTATATGTTTATATAAATAAACTCTTAATTTGCTTCAAGGGGTAATTTCATGTTCAACTTCATGCAAAGTAAAATACGTACACAAAAATAAAAACACAAAAGAAAACCCACAAAGAAGCAGCAGCAAAGAGATTTAAAAACGTGTTATATCATTACTTTAAAGCACGTATCTCCATAAAACACAAATGCACTTAGTTCGTGTATCAATGTTTATCACTTATCGCAGTATTTGTATAGTGTTCACTAAGAAAATCGATTAACCAATCACGATAATGCATCGTACAAGTGACATATTTATTACACATCTATTTCCTTACAATTCCTTGTAGACACATTAATTCCTTAAGAGATAGTACCGCTGACATTCATATAACTGTATAAACACAGAAGAAACTTGGACAATATCTATCACTTTTTCTGACTTAAAGTAATACGGGAGATTTCGTCAGAAAAAAGTACTAGTATGGATAATTATTATTACCTTATACACCATGTATATACAAAAACGCAGATATTTTGCAATATTGTTGTAAAGCAAAATTGTGAAATTATGTTGCCGAAACGAGCACCAGTGTGAACGGCGACCCCCGCCCATGTTTTTGTATTTCGTTTATATTTCCCACATTTTTGATACAATAGTGTGTAATTACATTATTTTAATTTTTTATCTTTTTGGGGTTAAAACGGGCAATTGCCAAAAATTTCTCTTGTCATATGTCCCCATAAAAAAGAATTAATGTATGAGTAATTTTTACCCCGTTTTGTGCCGAATTGTAACTAACTGTGCACCCAAAGCCCTAGCTGGTTTCCTTTAAGCAAACCTGAAACATTAAATTTAATATTTATATAGCCCCTTTTAGTGTAAACCAAAACTTTGTAGTGTTGGCAAAGAAATACCAAACACATGTGCAAAGAAATACCAAACACATGTATTAAATATGGTTTAACTTTTTCCTATAAATACGTTATAGAAAAATTACATGACGTTTTTTTTATTTTCCTTTGTTTAGATCAAGCATTGCTCAGCCTCATTTGACAGTCGTGTGAAATAACTTCTTTCAGTAGTAAAGCATACATGTTCCTTACATTCCATGTTTGTTTGAATGGGCAAGAGACAAATAACAAATGCACAAACATTAACAATTTATTTACACTTTCATTTCTATAATACAAACATATTATCAAGACAATATAACACCATTTTAAATGATTTAAATGTTAATTTAAATGTGTTTTGATTATATATATATCATAAAACATATAATTATTATAACAAACATTAATGCATAGAGGAGCAAAAGTTCATCTAATCTATAATAATTTTGATAAATCATCAGTGAGTTTATGTGTATAAAATATTTTTCATAATCCCGCAAACATTGACGGCATTGTTGAGGGTCAGCATTAAGCAGTATTGGACGTCTATCGATTTTCAGAGCACAAATAGCTCGTACTTGAGTTAACTTAACAGTAACAATGTTATTGTGTGTAATACTGTAAAGCAAGGTCTTTGATTTTTACTAAACACAATTTCTGTACATTTATGCATAGATGAAATATATAACACTTAACTGCACAGTCGTATGACTATTTGTTAAATGCTTAAAAGCATGTTATAACCAAATAATGAAGATGGTGCATTATTATATGTCGTTAACCTTTGACAGAGGGCGACTTCTACATGTATACCTTCAAAACAATGTCCCTGATTTTCTCACATTTATTTCTGCAATAATGTCAAGAACTTTAGACAGAATATCACTCATCATTTCAACATCAGTAGCACATGAAACATGTGTATATACTTGTTTATGACACGGATGATGTTGATGAAACAGATCTCGAATAAATTTTATGCAAGCATCCGGTGTGTTCTCACCTGTAAAATATTCAAAAGTAATATATCATCACAGTAACTTACATAGTAGTTTTCCATCTACATCATTTTTTTTAATCTGTGTACCATTCAATCACGCTTAGGACCAATTGTGTGCTAAATTTTCGATTATTCAATCACTATGTTTTCCAGAACAATTATTTTAATAGATAAGTGAAAAATGACCTGAACGGAAGTGTTATTTCATTATATACACTTACAGATAAATGTTCATACACACAAATAGTCTTACATGGTTGTGACGTATTTGCAGATTGACAAACTATGTCTTATAAGATTCCAATAATTACTAATTAATTAACTAATTCAATTAAGTTAATGTGAAACTATTTACGATGAAAGTTCTTTTTATACATCGCTTTCGGCTTTGCGAGGCAAAAAATCTTAAACACTGTAAATGCCGACTGTTCTGTTTAAGCTTTTCTAAATTTTTGCAACATCTAGAAAAATGTGCATCTTTTATTTTTCCGTGTTTCAGGGTACATGTAATACGACGAAAATACGGCAACATAACTGCTTTGTAGCGTATTCATCTTCGAGATACCATTCTCTGTTAAGGGTTTTAACGCGTGAAAATTATGAAAAACAAATTAAAGGCGACAACAAGCCAATAAATCATAGGTTGAGGGGAGCATATAGGTAACATAAAAACTTCACTGTTTGACTAGAAGAAATATATATCAATTTTTTCCAGCTATGCCCAAACAATGAACAGAAAAGCGTTTTAATGTAAATGTTTAGTATATTGGTTACCATTAAGTCGATCACTTATGCTAACACAATTCCACATGTTTGAGTGATTAGAATCATTTTATGTAATACGTTACCTTCATATGATTTGACAAAGGATTTGAATTTGACAGATTTCAGCTTTTCTGTGAAAAGATCGTGTTTGTTTAGGAACAGAAGAAAATCCGTCTTGTCAAGATAATGGTTATGAGAAACGTCATGGAATGTGCTGAGACTATCAGTCAAACAGTTCTGAAAACAATCAGAAATGAATCATATACAGCTTGATGATGTATTCTTTTAATTCTTATTTCACAATCATATCAAGTTTTACACCACATCTTTATAACATTCTATTGAAAACATAATTTGAATTGTCAGGAAAAAATGCTTGGAAAATACTGGAAACGCCACTATTCAGCACAGCCGCGACATAAATGTGATAATTTTTGTTTATGCAGTGATTAACAGCGTTTTAAAAAGACCCGATTATGTTGCCAAAAGGCATAATTTTGACCAATTACATATACAATAGTAATACGTGGTCGCCAAATCACATGGTCGACTTGTTTATGCAGGAGTTTTGTTATGCTGCGTTACAAAGCATGCAGAGAAATACTTTCTGTTTTACTCTACGGGTAAGACCTGAAATTTACCATACACCCCCGCAATAGCGGCCAACAAAAACATACATTTAGTAATGCTTGAAAATAAGATTTATGATTTTAATGAACAAAGATATCTGAATGATACAATACTTCAGGGTTACTCCCCCAGCACTAGGTCATGAGTACATTTTAATGAACAAAGATATCTATCTGAATCATACTATACTTCAGGGTTACTCCCCAAGCACTAGGTCATGAGTACGGAGCATGAGAACTATAGTCATGCAGCTGATTTAAGTTGAAAGAACTAAAGTACTAAAGTGTGAGTTACCAATGTTTCGTCCTCTTCTAACACTTCATCGAATGCACTGAGTGACACAAAGAAAAGAACGACCGTCACGTTCTCAAACAAATGAATCCATTTTTTCCTTTGACTTTTCTGTCCCGCAACATCAATTACTCTATAAAAGATAAATGATAAGGTGATATGTGATTTCTGTTTAATCAGTTTCTAGATTTTTATGTCTCTTCTGTGTAGAATTAAATCAGACTGCTGTGGTAAACCTTTTGTTATATGGTTACTTTAAGGACAAAAAACATACAAAACAAACAAACAAACGTGTACTACTTCAAGAATGGAACACATGTCATTGTGCTCTGATGATATATGCCATTCTTATACTCTGCGTTATATTCCTAATCTAAGTACTTTAAATGTTTTAAAGGTTAAGTTATTCTTTACTTACTTTACCATTTGATATATGATATCCTTTACCATTTGATATATGATATATTTAGTGTCAACGACCTGAGAATCAACTGTTGATCTTGGAACTTGGTATTAATCATAGTAATAGAGAATATTAATGTCATCTATTACTTTGAACATTTGTTCCTTACTTTGATGTGAAGTACATATAAAAGACCGGAAACAATGTTTTATGGTTAATTGGAAATTAAACAAGAGTCCGTCATGCGTTAGTTCATGGGTTCTTGTGTTGCTAAATTACGAGAATTATTAAAAATACTATCATTTGAAATATAAAACAACAACAACAACATAATGGATTATCATAAGGTACAGATAAAAGATCTAAACATATGGTCTTTGTTTTGTTATTATATGATCTAAGTATAGCTGCTATCTCATTAGTAATAATAATAATAATATCTTTTAATACGCTCTCAAATACAAAAAAGTTGCAATTATTAAAATATCATAACTTTAATATCAAAATAGTTAACAATTGCCCCGAGATTATGTGTATAAACTTGAATTAATTTTGCTTGTGCTGCGTGCGCGTAAACTTTGAACGCCCTGTCGTCATCGTGTTCACGAACTTCAATGAAAGCAGGCAAAAACTGTGTATTCATTTTAATTGTAGATAAGGTTAAAATAGTCTGAGTTCTCTTTTTAGAATAATGCGGTAATTCATATTGTGGTGTTATATGTTCATGTTTGTCTTTTGTTCTTTTGTTATGGGTGATTTAACTGGATTTGCACGTTGAGTGATGGATGATTGATTTTGTATGAAAGTTATTTTCAAGCTTATTTGCTTCTGGAATATAACATTTCTCAGTAACTCTGACCACTCCTTGTCTTGCTTTCATAATGACAACATATATATTTAATTCAGTTATTTCTTGATAGAAGTATTTGCTATTTATTTCAATTAATTAATACATTAGATTTCTTCCACTAAAAGCCTTATATGTATATATTTATTTATTTGTGAAAATGTTTTAACTGTAATTTGAATTGTTGTGTAATATGTTGTATTATGTATTTTAGGAAATGTGTATGTCTTATAAAATACTTGTTTTGAAATGTGATGTCTTATTGTTATTATATTTTATAACAGGTTTTATTCATCTTAGAATAAAATTATATCAACACCACCCAGTGTTTATTCAATATACGCCCCACTTTGCCTATTCATATCATATCATATTTAATGGCTCACTAGTCAATAATTGTATATTATGCAATATTCGTAAAAGAAACAAGTTCTTAAAGCATCAGATTAGATTCCTACTTCCATTTTAAATAAATTTTAGCAAGATGAAAAAATGTTTTATTGTTAAATTAAAGAAAAGACTTCAATAAAAAAGTGTACCACATTGCATTACTTGTCTTTAGTGACTATAGGATGCTTGAATGTCAGACAAATGATTTAATCTGCAAAATATTTCAGCATCTGGGATATTCGATATACTGTTATATTACATTTTCATCATGGTGACTACACAGTTATGTATATAACCATTTGGTAATTAAGGTCAGAAAGTATAAATGAACAAATACTCTGTGATTTGAAATAAAAAATGCATAAATTACGTCTTTGGAAGTTTGAATACATGACTAAGTAACAGAAATGCTTTAAAAAGATGGCATTTTGACAAATTGCATTTTTCGTCTTCTATTTAAATTAAAAAACCTGTAAACTAAATGCGAAACACATTATTTTGTTATATTTCAAATAAACCATCTCCATTGTGACGTTAAGAGATTGGTTTTCATCTTACAATCAGACTGAGCCTATTTTATGACCGTCTAAATGGGAATAGATGCGGGATCTACATTTTTCACAGCCCGTTATCTTGACATTTTTGGACTATAAAATTAATGTTATCCCACGCATCATTTTCTATAAGAAATTTATAACAAAACATTAGCACATAAGGCGAACGTTTTATTGGATGAAGGTTTTTAAAATGAAAATAAGTACTTATAGTGATATCATGGAAAGCAAACCAGCGAAACATAAGTGTTTATATAATTAGATGCATTTTGAAATATGATAGGTGTAATTAAAATGAATAAAATAAGATGCGATGAATAAAGTAATATTTACAGACTAAAAATGAAAAGTATCAATCATACTTAATAAAACAATAACATAATCGTTTCTAAAATAAGAAAACATTAAACAGCTTTGCAACGAAATATTTCGTAATTCAATAGGTAATAAGAATTAAAAGTACCTGTAAATTAAGTCATCAACGTTGAAAATGTGTTCAATGACACCAAGTGTTGGACGTCTAATGAATAAAATATCTTGGTGGGTTGGCACGTAGTTTTCCTTCAGCATACGCTCCATACTATCACAGAAACTATTAAAACAAGAAATAGGAAAAAAGTAAAGTAAGCGGTCTACATTATCACAAAAACAATATTTGAAAAAGCGGTAAAAATAAGTTTTATTTTATGACAGAACTTATAGCAATAAAAATAATAATAATTTTTCAAAAATAGCTAAGAAAAAAAGAAACGAAAAATTATTACATTAATAAGCACCAAAACATACTATAATTCTTGGGGTGTCAACGAACCCGGACCTCCTTTAATTGCCTTGAGTTGTTTATAGCTTTTCTGATAACCTGAATCTTTCCAAAACAGCATCAATAGCTTCTGATCTATCTCTGACAGTCCATTGCATTTAATATTCAGATATGCAAATCTTTTAGTTAGTTCGTTACAGGCCATAGCCAACAGGCAATTTGCGCCTTTTGTGGACGTAGGTTTATCTTCTACTGGTGTTGTGTTTTTGAGCATTTCATTTATGTCCAGGACGGGATTACGTCTTTGAAACTCCTCCGATTGTGTCTGTCATAGAAACACCAAACTTTATTACAATGCAGGTGAAGCTGTTGTAAAAATACTATATAACTGATGTCTATATAATTGATGTCAATTCATCCAATTCATTGTAGATAAAATTATACAAGTCTTAACATACAATATATGCTGTGTGAGAAAGTTAACAAACCTAATATTTTTAATTGATTTTTAATAACTGAAAATCACAATTAAGTTTTAGTTTACTTTTTAAACATGCATATTTCGGTAATAACTTCATTTCAAATCTTTCTCTCCTTTAATGTTTCTTTATTCAATAACGTATGATTATCTTATATGATTGCACTTCTAGAATTAAAATTTGAGTTATTTCCAAATTTTGTAGTATTCTTTAGACGTAGGTCACTCAACTACATTCTGAGTCGGCCTTGAATCAAATATTCTTTATTGGAAATATATATAGCTTATGTGATTCATATGTAAGCTTAAATATAAATGTATATGTATTGATCAATCTGTTAAAACCCTTTATTTTAAGGATTAAACACACTACAGTGTTGGAGCAGTACCTTGAGACGCTTGAGGAAATTATGATCACAAAGTAGAACAATTTTGCTTTTCCGCCGATTCTTACATTTTTCATTCAAGATCGTATATTAATAGGTGTAATAAGATCAATTTGACGTCTCAGTGTTTAAAGGCGAGATTTTAGCATTTGTTTTCATTCAAGCGTCGTGTCCAATATATACCAGAATTCGGTATTTAGTGTGGTGCTCCAACACTTATTTAGTTTCAGTCTTTTTTTTTTAATAACATTGGTCAAATAACCTAAGCTACTAAGATAGTTTTCGTTTCATCTAATTATCTTTTCGTTAAGCTAAGTTGATAAAAAACAACGCAAAACATCATTTTTCTGCTGCAGCACATATGTATGATAGGTATACACATAAAACGCAATAATAGAATCCGAAACTTTATCTGAGATAATTACCTGCATTGCTTCTGTTTCAAATGTTATCTTTGAACTTTGCATATTGTCTATGATTTTATTAGCTGCGCCAGAAATATTTTCGTGAACTTGATTCTTGTATTGCAGCCTCTCTTCCTCTTGGAAACCCATCTCCGTAATGTATTCTTAACTGTTTAACAAATGTGCTCTTACCACAACATGCGCCCCCTAAATTGAAAATTAACATTAGATATGTTTTGATTTATCGATTTTTGTGTAGACTGATCTGATGTTTTATGGAAACAAAATCAAAACTATTATAGCATGCTTACAAAATAATATTGCTACTTTGCTATGAGATGACTATTTGTATATGATATAGTTTTATTTTAATCATTATTATTTCTTTTAAATTAGCTCAAAGTTATCCCATATATGACCAGGAAAATAATTTTTCGGAAGATACAGTCTTAGCTACCAATAGTGGTCAGAAAGGGGACATAGCTAAAATGATGGTAATAAACATGTATTTTGTACATCTAACTATTTCATAACTGTTGTCAACAAGTTATAGCATAAAAAACTACAAGGTACAACTGGAGATAAATTTGGAATATCTGCCCTTGAATTTGTTACAGATGATTTTAAAATAACAAACATTAAATGATAAAGGTAAACATTTACCAAGAAGAAGGAGGGATAACTCGTTCTGTTTTTTGTCTTTGTCAGCTTGAAGTTGATTGTCAATACTCTTGCTTCTTTTGATAGCATCTCGGGAAATCTTACCCATTGCAGACAACGATAACGTCTATAAATAGTGAGAAAACAATACATACTACATATAACCTTTATACACTGGTATAGTAGAAAATAAAATTGTTTCATGATAGTTTTGAAAAGGTTTAACTGAAATAAAATCTGTTGATTATGTCATAGTCATGACTTGATTTATTAATCTGACGTAAGCATTTAGAGTTTTGTTTTCATAGAGTTAAGAACAGCTGCGATGCAACAATACAAAGCATTAGCACAGCTGAGAACTCTTGAAGAAATCTAAAGCGTCAATAAAACTTTAATTCTCAGAGGTAATTCGTTACTTATGTTCACGTTTTATCTGCTACTGATATATTTATTGATGGAAGCTAACATTTTGTTTTCAATCATATCCTAAACTACCTAGCATATGGTATTAACGAGGTACATGTAATTTTATGATTGTTATGACGTATAAAGCTTTATAAATGCGAATGTTTTTAATGTACATCTTTGAATTTTATTTTCATTTTCAAGTTTAAAGGCGTATGCTACAGTTACATGCTACAGATAACTCGAAAACGAGCTCTGTGAACACTTATTCACTTAAGAAATTTATTTTATATTCTAAGATAATGCAAACTTTAAATAAATTTGAATCTACAGTTTTCGTTCAACCTATATATGTATATGCATAGGCCGTTTAGAATGAAATATAATTATTGACTGTATTGCTTTGTCTGTTTATACATTCTCACAAAGAGCATGTTTACTATCAGAACAAAAGGTAAGAACGCTTGAACTCACTTTCATTTTACTAAGCTTTTAATAAGTTTAACGTATACACGGGGGTGGAACCCCATATGAATCTCAAAAATGAGCATCGGTTAAAATGATATGTGAATTTCCGCTGCACCAGATGTGAAGCATAACACCAGATGTGACTGGAAAAAAAGGCTGATTGCAGGGTAAGTTTTCATCTTTTTAAACATTTATATAAAATTCAATCCTTCATTTAACAAAATCGAAATGTGATTCTACCCTCCTGAGTCTCCTCTATATTACCCCTTGTTGTTTTGGATTTCTATGCAGTCTTCATCGAGATATTCTTTTCGTCGTGGGTTCTGGTGTGTCCAAAATATGCAATGTGAAGGAAGAAAATGTCACTAAACGGACTCAAAAAACAGCGATTTTACGAAATCTAACTACAGGCCGATGCTCAACATTCAAACAAATCCTGGTTTAAACATTTATTGAGATTTGGCCATATACAAGGGAATCGCTGCTCAAAATTACATTTGAGCTCCAGATGTGCTGAAGGGATTCATAAGTGATGTAGAAAACCATCTACAAAACTACTGACCACTTCCATATAATCATTGAATAGCCAATGTATAGAAACAATATAGGTTTTGCAGCTCTGGCGGAAAGTTCAGTTGTAACATTAGTGTGTTTGATTACCACAATGACAGAGCTTACTAGCTTATGCTAGCATTAGAAATACTAAAAGGCCCGAGTACATGAAAATGTTGACGCAGAGCGGATAGTACTCGTATGATAAACAATTCACTGATAAATGATATGTAACTTGGACAAACCAAACTGAAAGTATTGAACTTTGTAAAGCTATCGTGTCATATAATATGTTTCTATAATAACGTTTACTTTCATAAAAATATCTATCACTTTAATATTCCACAAGTTATAGTTATAGCGACAGACTGTTATGTGTAAATATCATGGCCTGATGCGACATCGAAGGTTTTTCTTTACAGAATATGGGTCGAGAACATTGTCTGTAAGGAAAGCCCGAGATGCCGCCCCAGGTCATGATATTTCTACATAATAGTAGAGTTCGATACATTATACATGTGTAACTGTTTTATCGCATGATAAACAGAAATGGGAATTTTAATAAACATAAAATTTCAATTTATAATTGGCTTCTTTCCATAAATTAAATTCCCCACCCGAAACCTCGGTTACTTTTTATGTAACGTGTCAATTACCGATATTGTAAACCTCTCATCACATAAGCCAATCAGAAGTGTGTTGAGTGTTCCTGATTGGTTGGATGACAAAAGACACAGAAAAACATTGCTGTAAATAATTGGGACGCGCCAGTACTACACTAACCGCCGTTTCATCAGCATTTTGATGGCATGTCAAAAGATGGATTTTTAAATTTATATCAATAAGTCTATTATTAACGATTACTGTTATTTTCTCGGGTACTTGAAATGGATAATATTGCAAGTAATGCTACTCATGAAAAGATTCATAGAGGCAGTGCCTCTTAGCGCAAAATAACATGAAACAAAATAAAAGGTTTATAAACAAGTACGTCCATGCACCAGACAAAACTTTATGCAAACCCATTTCCACATTATATATCCCATTAATAAATTTTTTTTTGCTGTTAAAGTTTCTTTAAAAACCATTCAAAGAATTACAGAGCAGGCATGAAATTCAGATAGGCACTGACCCATAATTACGACTGTGGGCATGGCATGAAGTGAACCATGTAAATATTCTGCAGGGACGTTTCTTGATGTGGAAAATAAATATGCAAATCTTCTTTGATTTTTTTTTAAAAGTTTATCACAAACTTTCTTACAACATCATAACAAATTCAAAAACGCTTCACATTACTCCCCTATTAAGCAGACAGTGCAGTCGAGTGAATAATTAATTAATTTATTAATGCATGGTGGCATAAAAAGGGAAAGATTGCAGTACACACGACGTCAATAAGTCAAAATAAGCAAGGTCTTCCCAAAATATATACGTATGTTCAAAACCTTTCGTATGCAGAATGTCTTATATCTCTTTCTATATGGATACTATGTTATTCAAGTGAAAATGTGTCTATTTCGGATAATAGTATTTATTACAGAATGATATACAATAGAATAAATTCTAGATTGCTGTATGAAAGTGATGCGTAATTATGTTGCTTTTTTATGTTATGCACATATGAATCTCTTCAACACATCTGGACCTCAAATGTAATTTTGAGCAGCGATTCCCTTGTATATAGCCAAATCTCAATAAATGTTTAAACTAGGATTTGTTTGAATATTTAGCATCGACCTGTAGTTAGATTTCGTAAAATCTCTGTTTTTTGAGTCCGTTTAGTGACATTTTCTTCATTCACATTGCAAGATTTGGACACACCAGAACCCACGACGAAAAGAATATCTCGATGAAGACTGCATAGAAATCCAAAACAACAAGGGGTAATATAGAGGAGAGTCAGGAGGATAGAATCACATTTCGATTTTCTTAAAAAAAGGATTGAATTTTATATAAATGTTTAAAAAGATGAAAACTTACCCTGCAATCAGCCTATTTTTCCAGTCACATCTGGTGTTATGCTTCACATCTGGTGCAGCGGAAATTCACATATCATTTTTACCGATGCTCATTTTTGAGATTCATATGGGGTTCCACCCCCGTGGTATACAAACCAAACAATCGATTAACAAAACATTACATCTTGCAAACATTTTACGTCGTATCATATCATTGTTCATATTGTGATTATTCATTTGCAAACGATAAACTACCAATGTCGCATGTTAGTATAAACGTTAACGTTATTCTAAATCAAGTTTTAAGTTTGTGATTCTTTTTCTAGAATATATAATACTAAGACAAAAATGACCTTAATGCATGTCTTTACTACTATACAAAGAATATTGAACGCCACTCTAATTAAATATTACCCCTTACGTGATCAGCCCAACATTTCGTTGAATATATCTTGACATGTACAAATTCTTATTTAACTTAAAGTTTGATTTTTTTATTATCAATGTAAGCTATTTACCAACTGAAAACATTTCATCCTCTAAAAAATATATAGTTTTACGTATACTAATTAATTCTACAATTTTTACAAAACCCATTACTTTTCTTTTTAAACATGAAATGGGAATATATTTTACTTTAAAGTTTTTTCATTTAATGATTTACATATTTTGACTTCACGTATTCCAGAGTATAGATTATATAAACATCTTTAAACATGTTTATCTCTACAGACATTACGGTTTATACATATGGCTTACGCATAACATAATATTTATCATTTCGGAAGCAAACACGTGCCAAATTTCGAGAATATCTCTACAAGTTAGATTTTGTAATTCAAAACGTCCTTAGATATCTCTTAACATTGTTATGTTGACCACATCAAATATAATATGTTCTAATGTTGTTCTTCTTTTCCTGAAATATCCTTTAACGAACTAAATGTAATTCAATTTTCTAAATGATATTGTTTTAGTAGATTAAATTTGTCGTAAAAATAAGACATATTATACATAAATGCAATTTCAATTACTTCCTGTTAGCTCCCTAGAGTAAACAATCTTATCTTTTGTCTTAGACCTATTGCATTAAACTTATTTGATTTGATGAATTAACGAAAAAGGTCTCTCGCTATCATGTAAAGAAGTCCCAAGGAAAATAGGGAAAGGTATGCCTAATCAACATAAAAGACAAAAGTAACGTAAAATGATTATATATTCATGATGACCTTAATTCAAAGATGACATTATAAAGACACTAAATAGTTTGAGTGCATTATTGTAGAATAATACATAGTATGGGTACACATGCGTAGGAATATAATCACGAAGGCCGTCAGGCCTGTGTTTAATTATCAAGCATTCGAACAATAAATCGTGCATTATTATACTTTATTATTATGATCTAAATATAGCTGCAATCTCATTGGTCCAAACAGTAGTCAACAGAACTTTTTATAGAATCATATTCACTGTGGGGCGTCCGTTGCCGAGTGGTTAAGGTCGTTGACTTCAAATCGTTGACTTCAAATCACTTGCCCCTCACCGCTGTGGGTTCGAATCCCGACAGGGACTTTGGATTCTTTCATGTGAGGAAGCTATCCAGCTAGCTTACGGAACGTCGTTGGTTCTACTCAGGTGCCCGTTCGTGCCTGAAATAATGCACGGAAGGGCACCTGAGGTCTTCCTTCACCAGTAAAGCTGAAACGTCGCGATATGACCTATACTGTGTCGATGTGA